AATAAGAATGGCACAATGAACAAAAACGGCAACTGACACGCAAGAACGGCCAACGCGCACAACCCAGAAATGTGATGTTTTAGTGCGTGTCCATGTTGCAGTTCCATCCGCTCGGCTCAAGTCCAACGTCAAAGAGCAAGTGGTAGAGCAGAACGACGAACGGTGCTCAATTGCTCCTTCAAGTCCTCATCCAGCTAGCACACCAGGTAACACCCAGTGCGACGGGAGCTGAAGAATCTGTGACGAGAAGGAGAATCCAATCCCCTGAGGCACAGCACAACAACGCACATCCGCATGTCGTACACGACAGCCACCCGGCCTCAGGGTAGTGGAGATGATGTAAATCCAGCCCGCTTAAAAAAACTCCCCATAAATACCCAAAATAACGCAATGGATGCCCCAGTATTTACATTTTAACAACAATATTATTTACACGTGACAACAACAACAACAAAATTTTCTGCTCTTACCCACCAGCAGTCCTCCCTTGAGGACCAGCACAGACATCGCACGTACACAGCATGTACCCACGGTCACTCTCAGCAACCCAACAAAGCGCCTAATCGCACACCCTCGCGTGGAGAGAGCCACGCTCCCCAGCGGTAATGTTTAACTCGCCCTAACCCCCACCGTGGTCGTCAACCCACAGCAACATCCACTGACCATACTCTCAGCTAGTGCAATTTCGGGGATGAGCAGCAACTCGGCCACGCTCCTCCCTTACTATCCCATCAGAGATGGACACACACCAGCCTCGTATAGTCCGATGCTTTATAGCCCAGGGAAGGTTCATCCCCCAGCAATGCCAGACCCCCTGTACTCCCCCCACGGGGCAATGTTCTCTTATAGAGACAATAACACCCTAACCCAGATCCCGTGAGCCCCCGGCACACCAGGTTCAGTTTGCCACCGCACAACTGAACCATGACTCCCCGAGCCATATGAGCACATGGCCCATTAGTTTAAGACATACCACGGAGGTTTCGCCTCCGGGCTGTCAGGTCAGCCATCAGCCATAGCCCGATGTGACCACAACTCGTGCATCACCCAATCAACAATGGCAGGCATAACAGATGGAATATTTGCCCCACCCCGGTTTTTCACGCGCGCTCAAAATGGCGTCCCCCTTCGCCCAGCGCGTTCGCGCAATCTCTCGCGCGCACTCAAAATGGCGGCCCTTTCCGCAAAGCGCATCGTCGCCATACCCCGCGTGCGCGCAAAATGGCGGCCCAACGTGCGAACACGTGGCCAGTTTTCTCCATTAGTGCACCCCAGCTTCCCTTAGCTGGGGGTCACAAGACGCATCCCCCGTCACGTTATAACAACCCCACCAACGATAGACGCACAGCCCCAGCTTGCTGCGCACAGCTGTCATATCGTGGAATTTTTAACCAATATTTTACCAACCACATTGGTTACACAACCCAACTCGCAAAGCAACTCGTGGCTGCATGCGATCAACCGAATACGCGACGCCACTTGGCGCCAATTTACGATCCCATTAGCATTAACATCTAAACCACCCACAACGGCGTCATCGCGCACCCTCATTCTCAAAAAGCTCAATTACCCCTATAATATACACGCAATCTCGTGTGCACAACACCCATACAACCAAATTTTTGGGTCCCCCTCTATAATATACACGCAATCTCGTGTGCACAACACCCATACAACCAAATTTTATGGTCCCCCTCTATAATATACACGCAATCTCGTGTGCACAACAACCATACAACCAAATTTTTGGGTCCCCCTCGAATTTGTTACCAATTTCCAACAGGTACGCACAATATAATAACAATCCCAATTCCAATAATCAACCACTGCATCGCACCCCATAACCATACAGAACAGTATAACAGCACATACAATCAGCATATTGCGATCACACGCGTACATTTAAACACAATAGCAAGCAGATCTGCAGGCAACCAACACACCATTAATCCTGTCGTAACTTTGCAGCAACAACACAATTATTCTCTCTCTTGCAACAATCGCATCGCACACAGCACCTCGCAGCACAATACACCAAAAAAAAATATTTTTTTTTTTTTCCCAATTAAGCCCATCGCACAAGGTAACCCACAATATACAGCGCAAGATACCCGACGCTCCCAAGTTAATAATTAACTTCACCATCAAGATAACAACTCCACGCAGCAGCCCACACACACAATTTGACACTCAGCAACTACAGCAGACTCTCCGTCCATTCTCAACACACGCACACACTTATATTGACACCAAGCAACAAGCAGATAGCGCGTTCATCGTTATTACACACACATACACACAGTCCGAACCGCGCTCCGCACAATCGAGTCATAAGAGAAACCCAAAATAGCCCCCCGGCCCTCGAAAGATGAGTGAGGTGTGTGTTAAGGCCGGGTGCGTATCGTTATGACTCGCCCGGGGCTGCAGCAAGAAGAGGACGGCAGGGTGGCAACTTGAGACGCCTCGCAGAACTCGTTCGGCGACTTGACGGCTCCGTTGTCACGCACCCGAGCCAGGACGGGAAGCTCCCGCCCCAGCAGCTGCAGCATCGGCGTCTTCTCCTCGCAGCACCCCCTCGAAAAACAGCAGCTCACAGCAGGCTGCTCACCCCGTGGCACCTCCAGATGGCAGCGCAAGGCTGCCTCTCCGCCGCGATGTTGAAGATGGCGGCGTCCTCCCGCCGCGGTGAAGACAAGATGGCGGCTTCCCGCCTTTTCTCCCCTGCCACGCCCAAGATGGCGTCTTCGTGCCACGTGGCAATGGCGCTGGCAGCGCAGGAAAGGCAGAGGCCTGCGGATCACCACCGGGCCTCCCCGACGTCGTCCTCGGCGTGGTGAACTCACACAGTCGCGCCAGCACGATTTTCAAGGTCCCCATCTGCATCACCATCTGTCTCCATCGTAAGTTAGCGTCCTCCGGCACAGACAGGTCCACCGACGCGGCGACACCTTGCTCACCCGGACCCGTACTCGTTCCAAAACGGATCACCTCTTCCATCGCAGGCAGGTCCACTGTCTGAGGAAGGTCGTCGTCGTCGTCGGATGATGTAGCAGGAATATTTTTTTTTTTTTTCTTCTTTCTCTCAGGTGTTTTGAGATGCCGTTTCACTTCTGACTCCAGTGTAATAAAAGGACTCAGACACTTTTTGCTGACTCCGTGTCCTTTATTTGGGGTTCGCGTTCTCCTTCCCACACGGCACTCCTCCTGAGACTCTCTCCCTGGCAGCCCCACATCTGCCTTCGCTCCCGTAGCCTTCCACGCTCCTGCAGCTCCGCTGCAGGCTCTTGGTACAGCCCTCTGGCTGCTCCCCCAGCAGCTCCATCGCTGCTCCCTGTTCCTCCGTGCGTGGCGATCTCGCCACCTCCCAATGTCAGCCCTTCGTGGCCTCTATGGCTATCTCGCCATTTCCTACCTCATTCCTCCACTCTCTCTTCCACCCCGCTGGCTGGCGCCGTCATGAGCCCCTCAGCCACCAGGCTGAGGCACGGCGACCACCCAACGTGTTCACCACCCTTCACTCCCCCGACTGACCCAGATAGCTTCCTGTCTCCCCGCTATAACTTCTCCCCCACGTCACCCTGACTCCTCCCTCTCGGATCGTCATATCCGCCCCGCCCATTTACGCCCGCATTACATATCTATGCCGAAACACGAGGGCGGCTGATGGTTTCATGACAAAAAAAGGGGCATTTATTTTGTTTAAAAATCGCCAGTGGTCAAATCGACCACTGATAATTTTTAAAAGGGCGTATTGTTGTATCTATGCCCCTTTTTCCAAAAATTAATATTAAGAATAATTAGGCCAAATTTTTTTAATATATATTTTTAAAAATTAAATAATGAAAACAACTCACTACTCGCCACATTCCACGCCGGGCATCTGGGAAAGTAGAATGCCACCAAAAACAGCAAACGTCAGGAACACCCTACCACCTTTGTCTTCCAACGGTTCGGCACAAACATGCCAGCCATCAAATAGAGAGGGGTCTGGCCTCGGGATGACCCACTCAGGGGGAGAAGGGGTCAAAGGGTCGCGAGGGGGGGTCGGTGCCTGGCATAGCTGGGGTGCCTGTTTTTCGGTTGTTGTTTCTCTCGCAAGAGATGCGCAGAGTGGAGGAGTTCACGTTTTTGGGTTTTAAACACAAACGCACATCACGCAGTGCAGTCTGGTTCGAGTCGCGCTCAGTCTTGCAACTCGGCTTGCGACGCAGCGTTGCGAGGGAAGCTCGCAAGGGAGTGGGGGCGCATTGTGCCTCGAGGAGAGATGGGAGGAGGAGGGGTCGTTAGAGTCGCAGAAGTCTGAGTTCAGTCTGGGTCGAGGCTGGGTTTCAGCCGTGCTCCGGTGGCGGTGCCGTCGTGAGGGAGCAAACACCGATACCGATGGCCGGCGTCGCTTCTCGCAGAACGAAGTGGCGAGGTGTGGTCGAGGTGCGAGTGAAACTGACGGAGATTTCAGTTATCATTCTCGAGCAATAGTGAAGTCAACTCAATGTCAACTCAACGTCAACCCAGCAACGAACGACAGCATCGTTCATCGCCAGAGTGCTCCAAGCCGGTGAGCGCGCACAGCCGCATCGTCCAGAGCCTGAGCCAACGCAGCCCTGAAGTAAGGGCGGGTGTCCGTGTGAAGCTGGCAGCGATCAAGGAGAGAGCACGGAGAAAATGAGGAAGAGGAGAGCGCCATCGAATGCGCCGTGTGTTTAATACACACACATATCGACCAACACCCGCTGAGAACAGAGAAGACGTCCAGCGGTGGCGACGACGGAATCATCGCTCACCACGATGGCGAACGTCGTGCCGACGCCACTCATCTAGCAGTGGAGAGAGAGAGCGCACGAGCAGCACGACCCGGGCGTCACCGAGCGTCGTGCCGACTCGTCATCCAGCAGTGGCGGAGCTGCGCACTATCCGACGACGAAATCATCGCGCGCCACGACGGCGAGCGTTGTGCCGACGCCACTCATCTAGCAGTGGAGAGAGAGAGTGCACGAGCAGAGACACGCCCGAGCGAGGGAGCAGGACCGGCTCGCTGCGGCCACGCCCAAGCGAGAGGAAACCTTTCTGGCCGCTGGTTGTATCCCCTCCCCCACCCCACAAGGTCCGACACAGCGCCCTTCCTCTACTTAAAATATTAATTTTACAAGGGGACAACGCACACACAGGACACACACGAATAAGACTTTCAAAAAGTTATCTTTGTGTTTCAAAAAGGGTTGCCATTTCAAGGTGGTGCGTTCAATATCAACTGATCATGCAAAGCAGTTGCTGCCGTCGAGTTACATGAATAAGAAGTGTTTTAGTCATTCATTTTTGTTAATTGCATAATCTTGCCGATGAATCTATTGATGTATGCTTTCGCCTTTGCATATTAGTGTCATATGTTTGTTTAGAATTAAAATTGCTTAACACAAGTGGGTGGGTGTTTCTTTCCAAGTCCATGCAAAACTCTTATTTATAAGAACTGTATCCTGCGTTGAGATATGAATTTGGAGACCTAACATAATATAAACACACTAAGATAATCAATAAATGTTTAATCAAAGATAATCGTTTTATCCTGATTGATACAACTCTGGATAACGAAGCTAAGTATAATTATCATAACTGCACACATTAACATAATTACAAGCATTCGCATACATTAATACGATCATCTCAGTGATTATCATAATTTATGCAGATAATTTTAAACATTAGCATAATGTATGCAAATTAGGCATTTTTAATATTTTCATTTTCTTAATCAAAATTTCATAATCCGTCATATACAACAGCCCCCCCCCCCATGTGTGCAGATACATCTCACTATATTGTATGTAGGGTGTGTAGGCACATATGCCTACAAAAGTTATAGAAATATACATATATTTGGGAGGGGTTGTCCACTTTCTAAAACTTTTTGATTCAGGCCTTCTGAAAGGCTCTTATAATTTAGTTGACGGACATAAGGACAAATGCAACAGCATACTTTTATCATGTATTATTGTTATTTTAATTAACTTTATTTCAATCTTTAATTGCGTGGAATGCTTTGATGTTTTCTGCCTGCCGAGTCGTTCTTGAGTAAGATCCTCGTAGCACATGGGTTTTACTGAGTGAGAAATAAACGTCTGAAAAAGTAGAGTGGACGGCTAAATGCGCACGATAAAATTGTGCAAACGTTTTGCATGATCTAGGATAGCTACATATGGCTTCAGAGTGCCTTCATTCAACAATTAATTGATCATGGCTGGCTGATGATGATGATAATGTTGACTTAACTAGTCTTTTTAGCTCAATGGGCTCCACTCGGGAAATACACTTCTGATCCTTCTCATACAGATCTATCCTACCTCCGATTAGTGCGGATGGCTACGTATGGTGAGAAAGGAGTTCAGCATACATACATACAGTAGAAACCCACACACCCACATATATTGAACATTTTCGAACTGATTTTTGTGTTTAAGTTTGTTGTCCTTCCACCACACCTCCAATTAGTACAGTTGGCGACATGCGGTGCAAAAGGAGTTCCACACGGCAAAACCTATGCCGCTATATAGCTAGGCTCACTGGCGGTGAGGCTATGGGTTCTCTCGGAGAGCATCGTTATCTTTATGAACCCAGATCAAGCGTTTCACCTTAATGGCCGCGTTAGTGGCCTCCTCGTCCCAGCAGTACTCTGGAGATAATATTTTACTCGGCTTGTTGTCGATAAAATAGCGGTTCAGGTGACTTTCGTCGTGCCAGATGGCTTCAATCTCAGCACTGCGATCTTTAGTGATTGCCTGGAAAATGTTGTGCGTGACGTTCTTCATATGTGACCTGCGGCCACCGAACACGGCCGCGTGGTAGTAGAAGTCTCCTTCTCCGTTCGCAACGTAGGCCATAGACTCTGGCCGGCGCTCATAGGTGAACATCGCTGGGTCCAAATTGAAGAACCACGAGTGGAGGACGACCACGGTGCTGCCCAGAACTTCGGGACCCCAGCGGTTTGTGAACAGCAGATCCACGTCGAAACAGAAAACATACTCCTCCTTCACGGTCGTCTCAACAAGCCCATTGATGATCTTGAAGCGATCCATGCAGATGTCCTGCCAGCGTGGGCGCTTTTCCACCTGAAAAGAAAATTACACATGCCGCCAGAGTCATTGTCCTCTGCTTTCAGTTTGGTCAACAAACTCAGTGATGGTGCGACTAAAATGTTTTGTTCATTTTCTTTCAGTCAACAATTACTCTTTGAGTGAAATAAGTTCATCAAACGTGAAATCACTATCGCTAGCATCCGTCCCTCCAGAAAAAAAAAACATATTTTCTCCCCTAGCCCATCATCATCATTATCCTGATACTGCCTAACCTCACCCCCTAGCGAGAACAAGGCATACCCCAACTCCTATCACTACGCCTACCCCAAATCCTATCACTACCTCAACTTATATCACTACCTCAACTTATATCACTTGCCCAACCCCTATCATTAATCCCAAGCCCTATCACTACTGCAACGCCTATCACTACCCCAACCCCTATCACTACCTCAACCTTTATCACTACCCAAACCCCTAACATTACGCCAACCCCTAGCACTAACCCACCCCTCATTAAGCTTTGCAGCCTGTTTTCCTGTCACTATAACTACACGACGACTCTGAGTAACCCCACTCTTTACTATCTCAACCATTATCATATTAAATACAATTGTATAATTGTTGTAAAGCGCCTTGAACCCGGGCACTATATATATAACACATCTATATAATATACAACTGTACCTATCAAAGAACCAAGTACGATAATAACAACAATAATAAACTCGGTATTAAAAAGTCAATTTCAAATTAGTAGACTCAAAGCGCTGCTGCTGTCCTATCACATGAATGTCATGCACGTCGAATTGACGAATTGAGGATCTACGCATGACATCTGTCTTGCCAGTTAAAATTATAATTGTTATTGTAGCAGACACTCCCCTCATCAACACACCAAGACAGGTCAGGGTTCCAGTCCATTTATTTCCCCTCCATAACGTACAGCTCCCTCCCTCATCCACAGCCCCCTCCTTCATCCACAGCTTTCTCCTCCATCCACAGCTTCCTCCTTCATTCACAGCCCCATATTTAATTCACACTTCCTTATTTTATTCATGGCTCCCTCTTCTATTCACAGCTCCCTGCATCATACAAAGCTCCCTCCTTTATGTACAGCTCCCTCCTCCTTCTACAGTGTCCTCCTTCATTCACAGCTCCCTCGTTCATCCACAGTTCTTTCCTTCATCCACAGCCTCCTCCTTCATCCACAGCAATATCCTCCCGTCCCTTCTCCAATGCCCCCTTTATCTCCACGGTCCACTCTTCTATTTCCTGCCCGCTCCCCTCATCCCTGTCACCTCATTCCCAGACACAAATCACATATCGTCATACTAAATTCAACTTTTTTAAATCTTACCAAGTAAAGTCCACTGAGCTTTATAGTTATTTTTCAGAAGTGACCTGGCTATCACAAATGTTAACCCAATGAAGTGGCTTATCATCACGTGGAAATTTATTTCAGCCAACTACTATAAACGCACAATTCTAAATATGGAGAAAAAATGCCAGAGGACCCGGCAAAAAATCCTGGTGACCATGGGGAGAACATAACAAACTCGATTACAAAAGGGTTAGAGATGGGATTGAACCGACGACTTCCTGTATACAAGGTGAGGTAGTTAAAATCTCGCCACCTCCAGGATTTGTAGACCTAAATCGATTATTCATTTTCTTTGGTTCTTTCGGTAAAGTCACGTAGATAGTAAAATAAAAATTAAATGAATAAAAATAATAAACAAAAAACACTAATGTAGGCTGTAGCCTGGTTCTTAATCTGAGTGAGTGTTCTGGCAGTCTAAAATGTAGACTGTAGCAATAGTTATTAAGCTGGGCGAATGTACTGACAGTCTATAATGTAGACTGTAGCCTGGTTCTTAACCTGAGTGAGCGTACTGGCAGTCTATAATGTAGACCTATTCTTGGTTCTTTTGGTAAATTTTTATTCTTTTTTTTTGCTTGATAGTAGGGTTTTCACATATGTCCACGAGTAGCAGGTCAGAACGTTACAACAAGAAACGATACAAAACATGATAGGAGTACAAAATGTAGGAAAGGTAAGCAAATCACAAAAAAATAAAATAAATACAAATCAACAATTTTAAATTGACCAGGTAAAGCCTGTTGTATGTATGCCCCTTTTTCCAAAAACTTATATTAAGAACAATTGTGTTAAATTAAATAATGAAAACAACCCACTACTCATCACATTCCACGCCGGGCATCTGGTAAACGTGGAATGCCATCAAAAACAGCAAACGTCAGGACCTCCCCGCCACCTTTGTCTTCCAACGGTTCGGCACAAACATGCCAGCCATCAAATCAGGAGAGGGGTCTGGCTTCGGGATGACCCACGCAGGGGGAGCAAGGGAGTTAGAGGGTCGCGAAAAGGGTTTATGACCTGACATTCCTGGGACGTCTGTTTTTCTGTTGTTGTTTCTATTGCAAGAGATGCGCAGAGGGGAGGGGTTCACGTTTTTGGGTTTTAAGCACAAATGCACATCACGCAGGGCAGTCTGGTTAGAGTCCTGCTCAGTCTTGTGACTCGGCTTGCGACGCAGTGTTGCGAGGGAGGCTCGCAAGGGAGCCAGGGCGGAGGCTTGCCGAACCATCAACACCAACCATGGGTGCCGTGCCTCGAGGGGAGATGGGAAGAGGAGGGGTCGTTACGGGCTGAGTTCGGCATGGACCGACAGAGTATCGCTAAAAGTTTGATTCTACATTGTGCGCGAAGCTGGCGGTGGCACGCCAAGGGAGAGTGCACGGAGATATTACAAGAGCAGTGGAAAAAGCCTGGACCAGCGCAGCCCTGAAGGAAAGGCGGGAGAGGCACCACCGGGTACCCGCGTGATGAGCTGCGAGCGCTATTGGGCACCGCCGAAGGCGAGCATCGTGCCGACTCAACAATCAACCTGCATCTTCTTGGTTCTTTCGGTAAAGTCACGTAGAAGGGAAGTAATAAAATAATAAAAATAAAACGTAATAAAATAATTCTCACGACGTTTCGGCCACAACGCAAGCAGCCGTCCTCAGGTGAAGACCAGGTCTGTCGGGGAGACAGCGTCTTAATGAAACACCACTACGCTTGGAGCGTATATTAAAGCTGGGTTGGAAGGGGGGAAGGGCGCCTTGACAAAATAATTTGCATATCAAGAGCAATTTAGCATATTTATGGGAAATGCAGGTATGTGATTAGTACTAATTGTGAAATGCGTAGGAGGTGGGCGGGGGGTTTCAAAGTCATATTATGCCCGTGCATTATGCAAGATTAGCAGCATCAAAGGGAGGGGATAGGGGTAGCATTAATAAAGGGAAGGAATGTTAATAGTGTGTAGCTTCAGTAACTGAACAACCACGTAAAAAACTAAAGTATAAACTACATAGTATCATCAGAATACTAAATATACTCTCCAATAAGCTGAGCTACTAACAGTAAGTAATACATTACAATTCTATGTCGCAAAAAAGTAGAATATGCTTCCAGCTAAACTTTTCCCTTACATCACACGGGTCTACCCCGTACTATATGCTGCCATAGACAAACCCAACATTAAATTATATACTGTATTACTATACACCACCTTAGATGGCTTAGAATAATACATAGTGTAATATTACACTATGTATTATTCTATCCACCCTACTGTATATCACACTGCTGTATATTCACTATACAATTACGATACTATATATTGCCTTATACATTGTATTAAACATTACAATTTTATACTATGTATTATTATACAATCTGCTATACACTATACCATTGACTGTCGAGTGAAAGATACTAAGAGGAAGCAACGAAATATGTCAATGGAAGAGTGGGTGGTAGGAGACTTGCAGCGGAGCAAAGAATCCATTCCCTGCAGAGAATACAAGATATATAGTCATGCCAGTGAGTGGACTGCGGTCTGAAAGTCACCGTGAACGTGAACACAATCACTCATCTAGCAGTGGAGAGAGCGAGCAAAAAAGCAGACACGCTTGAGCGAGGGAGCAGGGCGGGAAACTCCCGGCTCTAAAAAAATGATTAATTTTACAAGGAAACAACGCGCACACAACACGCACACGAATAAGACTTTCAAAAAGTTATCTTTGTGTTTCGAAAAGGGTTGCAATTTCAAGTTGGTACGTTCAATATCAACTGATCGTGCAAAGCAGTTGCTGCTGTCGAGTTACATGAATAAGAAATGTTTTAGTCATTTATTTTCGTTAATTGTATAATCTTGCCGATGAATCTATTGACGTATACTTTTGCCTTTGCATTTTAGAGTGTCATATGTTTGTTTAGAATTAAAATTGCTTAACACAAGTGGGTGGGTGTTTCTTTCCAAGTCCAAGCAAAACTCTTATTTATAAGAACTGTATCCTGCGTTGAGATATGAATTTGGAGACCTAACATAACATAAACACACTAAGATAATCAATAAAGGTTTAATCAAAGATAATCGTTTTATCCTGATTGATACAACTCTGGATAACGAAGCTAAGCCTAATTATCATAACTGCATACATTAACATAATTGCAAGCATTCGCATAAATTGATACGATTATCTCCGTGATTGTCATAATGTATGTATATAATTACATACATTAGCATAATTTCCGCGAATTACGCATTTTTTATTTTATTATTATTCATTTGTATTATTTTTAACAAAATTTCATAACCCAGCATATACAACAAGCCCACTGAGCTATGAGCTTTTTTTCACAAGCAATCTGGCACGCTAAATATAGCTTAACGAATTTGCTTATCAAGTGTACATGTGTAGTGACAGAGAATGAGTCACTGTAGCGCGTGCCGCTGGGCGATTGGTTGACAATAGAATTAGGGGTAACAGCCGTCCTACCAGTTGCACGGGTGGGTAAGGCACGGAGCCCTCTGGGGGATCCAGAGGGGTGTGGGGCTGAGGGCGGAGCCTGGCCATGCTGTTCAGGATAAGGCGAGCTCCAACTCACAGTCGGGGCTGCTACGATCTGCAGTGGAACTCGTCGTGCCGTCGTCGTTGTGATCATCTACACTCAGCAG